TCAACATCTTCAGCCAAAATAAGGCCAGGAGCTGATTGTGGAACAGACCATCAATTGCTCATATGCAAGTTCAAGTTGAAGCTAAAGACAATTAAAACAAGTCCATGAGAGCCAAAATATGACCTTAATTGCATCCCACTTAAATTTAGAGACTATCTGAAGAATAGATTTGACAACTGAGCACCAATGACTGGAAACCAAATTGTGGGATGGCATCAAAAACATGATCTATAAAGAAAGCAAAAGGTATTAAAAAAACAAGAATGGAAGAAAATACCAAAATGGATGTCATAAGTGACTCTGAAACTTGCTCTTGAATGGAGGGTCACTAAAGCAAACGGAAGAAATGGCAAGATAAAAGAGCTGAACAGATTTCAAAGAGTAGCTCGAGAAGACAAAGTCAATTATTATAATGAAATATGCAAAGAACTGGAGTTAGAAAAACAAAAGAGGATAAAAGTCTTGATATTTCTCAAGCTGAAAGAACTGAAGAAAAAATTTAAGCTTGAGTTATAATACTGAAAGATTCTATGAACAAAATATTGAATGATGCAGGAAACATCAAAAGAAAATGCAAGGAATACACAGAGTCACTGTACCAAAAAGAATATGTTGATATTCATTTATTTCAGGTGGTAGCATATGATCAAAAACCAATGGGATTGAAGGAAGAAGTTGAAGCTGCACTGAAGCAACTAGCTAAAAACAAGACTCCAGGAATTGATGGAATACTCACTGACATCTTTCAACAAACAGATGCTGGGCTGGAGATACTTACTTGTCTATGCCAAGAAATTTGAAAGACAGCTACCTGGCCAACTGACTAGAAGAGATCCATATTTGTACCCATTTCAAAGAAAGGAGATCCAACAGAATGTAGAAATTATCAAACAGAATCATTAATATCACACACAAGTAAAATCTTACTGAAGATAATTCAAAACTGGTTGCAGTAGTATATTGACAGAGAACTTCCAGAAATGCAAGCTGGTTTCAGAGGAGAACATGGAAAGAAGAATGTCATTGCTGATGTCAGATGGATCTTGTCTGAAAGCAAAGAATACCATAAAGATCTTTACTTGTGTTTTATGTGTATGGATCATAACACATTTTTGCATAACATTGAGAATAGAATTCCAGAACACTTAATTGTGCTCATGAGGAACCTGAACATAGACCAGAAGGCTGTCATTCTCACAGAACAAGGGGACACTGCATGGTTTAAAGTCAGAAAGGGTGTGTGTCAGGGTTGTACCCTTTCATCATACTTACTGAATCTGTATGCTGAGCAAATAATCTGAGAAGCTGGTCTATATGAAGAACTTGGCATCAGGATTGGAGGAAGACTCATTAACAACCTGCAATATGCAGATGACACAACCTTGCTTGCTGAAAGTGAAGATGATTTGAAGCACTTAACTGATGAAGATTAAAGACTACAGTCTGCAGTATGAATTATATCTCACCATAAAGAAAACAAAAATCCTCAAAATTAGACCAATAAGCAGCATCACAATAAATGGAGAAAAGATTGAAGTTGTCAAAGATTTCATGTTACTTGGTTCCATAATCAACACCAATGGAAGCAGCAGTCAAGAAATCAGACAATGTATTGCACTGGGAAAATGTGCTGCAGAAGACCTCTTTAAAGTGCTGAAGAGAAAAGATGTCTCTTTGAAGGTGTGCCTGACCCAAGCAGTGGTATTTTCAATTGCCTCATATGCATGTGAAAGCTGGACAGTTGTTTTGGTTACCTAGTAATGCTCTAATAGAAATACCACAAATGGGATGGATTTAACAAACAGGAGTTTATTCTCTTACAATTTTGGAGGTTAGAAGTCTGGGCTGAGTGAAAGCCTCTCAACCTCAGGCTTCAGCTCTGCCTCTTGCTCCCAGCCCACTGAAGCTAGAGGCATCTCTTCAGTCAGGCAGCTGCTAGCTGCTGAGGCTGACAAATGAAAAGGCACAGTCCCAATATTACCAAACCACATGACAGGCCATTAATTCAAGCCCATTAAAAGTCCCAAGATTGGCAGGGTAACATGGCAGGCTGCTGAACAATGACCTCATCTACACACAAGGTTCAAGTGTGCCATCAGCTGAAGACCTTCCTCAAAGTTGCTTCTTATATACTGGAAATAGACCGCATCCCTAAAGTAGCTACTCAGCTGATCTAATGGATTCTACCATGGAGTTAATTACCAATCTCACCATGGGGAATAAATACATCCAGCTGTCCAACCACTCAACCAGGCCCAGCCAACTTTATACACAAATTAACTACCACAGTGAATAAGGAAGGCTGAAGAAGAATTGATGTTTTTGAGTTGTGCTGTTGGAGAATAATACTGAAAGTATATGGACAACAAGAAGAACTAGCAAATCTGTCCTAGAAGAAGTGCAGCAGGAATTCTCTTTGGAAGGGAGAATGGCCAGATTTTGTGTTACCTACTTTGGTCATGTTGTCAGAAGGGACCATTCCCTGGAGAAGGATATCATGCTTGGTAAAGTGGAGGGTCAATGAAAAAGAAGGCCCTCAATGAGATGGATTGACAGTGGGTACAACGACGGGCTCAGGTATAGCGAGGATTGTGAGGCTGATGCAGGACCAGGTACTGTTTCATTCTGTTGTACATAGGATCATTATGAGTCAGAGTCAACTCAATGGCTCCTAACAACAACAACCATAAGAATTGTTGTCAACGGGTCAAGGATTAGGAGGGTAAGTGTGCTAGGACTCCTTTTGCTCCTCAGTTCCCTTTCTGAACAGTTATTTCTATATATAATACCATTTGAGAAATCTCTTGGGGAAAAAAAAAAATATATATATATATATATACATATAGCGTTATTGATGTTATACTCCAAAAGTTTCTTAAATTTTCAAAATCTAGATACTTGGAGAAACAAACATCAAGAAAGCTTAAATTTCAGCAACTTTTATCTATAATTCCAACAAAGCCACTATTATCTAAAAATACATTATATATATCACTTTGTCTCAATAAATTATGCTTCAAAATTGAATATTATTACATAATGATTCATCTAAATAATTTATTACATAATGAATAATCTAAAATAATCAAAACTTCAAACCACTACAAACTAGTAAAGAGAATGAATGTATATATCTCAATTTGCTCTCAAAATTTTGGAAAATGTGTATATTTTTATGTAAAGCTGGAATACTACAATGCATGTAATTTCTGTATATAAGTCTGAATATACGTGTGTTATTCTCTAAAATTTAATTAGAAGTAAAATGGAACAATATTGATCTTTCTACACATTTCAGAACCATGAGAGAAAAATAAAATACCTCTTTAGACAGTTCATATGAACCATATTTTAATCTTGTTTAAATGCCTCTTTGTAGCTAATTTCCAAATTACATATATATATACGTTGTTGTTTGCCGTCGAGTCGGGCCCGACTCATAGCGACCCCTCCTTTGGTTTCCCAGGCAGTATCACTACGGAAGTAGGATTGCCCAACCTTCCTTCTGAGGAGTGGCTGGTGGATTTGAACCG